TGTCCTCACAGCGAGAGCAGTGTCAGAGCCAGACCGGCTCCGAGTCACAGCCAGGTACGGGCAGTGTTTAGCTCCAGCCTCGGGGAGCCGCAGTTGCACTGTCAGGTCAATCAGCCCCCGCTGTTCCATTCAGGCCGCTTCCAGCTCAGAGCTGGCAGGCGGCACATTTAGGTCTGCTCCTCCCTGCAGTTCTGCCTCTTACAATGGAGTAAATATCTAGCCGTTTGGGGGATTTACAGAGAAAAGTAACACAGTGTTGGAAAACAAAGGGATTCATGTTTGTGAAGTGACTTGGATCATAATGCATTGCAGCCCCAGTAATTTCTGGATTATATTAGAGTTTTTAATTATAGGGCATAAACACTACACAAAGAAGAACTAGCAATGGTTGCTGTAACATTAAGCTGTAGCAATAACATAACATCTTTGCTTTTGCATCCCAGAATTCACCTTCTGTGCTTCAATCTCTTGCAAAATTCTTATAACTAAGAAATTATTAAGCTCTATTCTGCAGAAAAAAATCTGCATAAATTAACATACATACTGTCCTTTATTGCATAGTTTTGCAAACTGAAGAAATACCCCCTCAAAAATCCTCAATAAGAGGTGGCCATTGACAAAGGACACTTGAACTCCTACACAGTTCTTTTACCTCTGAAACTGCTCAGTGGTTTGACCCATGTACCACATCACAGCCTTGCGTGAGTCCCACGCAAAACTGAGTAATTCAAAGGAATTCAAAAAAGCAAAGATTTTGATCTTAGTGGCAAGAAAACAGGTAGAAGGGCTCCCACCTCGTGACTTACATCTTTGTAATAATGGCATTTTGTCCTTGCAACAGCAAAAAACTAAAACACTGCACTTGATATTACAAGATGATTTAGAAAGCACATTAGTATTGCTGGGTAGTGCAAACATCATAAGATGCTCAGCTGACTCTCTCTTCCACAAGTGTTTAAGCTGCAAGGTTTTTTCCTGCCCATGTGATACCACTCAATCAAATGGTTAGTTTTTTGTGCTGGCTTTGGCCTGTTTTCCATAACTATACCTACATTTGAGAAAAATCTCTGATTTAAATGCCAGGCCAGCATTAGAACAAGCCCAAGTCCTAAACACAGGTCACATATATGCGTATGCACACACAGAGTGTGCTTTCCTCAGGACTTAAAACTCAATTCCTAGTGCTGGAGGTATAAAGCTTTACTCACAGAGAAGCAAAAGCTCCCCCACTGATAGTCAAATGCCATATTTTTACATCTCTTACTGTTCTAAGAGAACAACAATCAGTTTCCTGATGTCAGTTTGCAGGAGATGCTTGGCACTGCCAGGGCAGCCCTGCTCTTGGGTGGTGGCAGGTTGGGTCTGGGAGCCATCCTGAGCCGTTTGGAATTTTGGGAGGGGCAGCCCACTCGGGGTCACAGGCGCCTGGGTGGGGTGCAGGCCCCTGGACATGAATGCTGGCCCTTTTCTGTGGGAAACAAAACTCTCCACCCCAGTTTTGCTTCTGTTTTTATAACTGGGGCAAAACCAGATGTCTGTGGTTGCCATTTTAGCCGTGGAAAATCAATCATATGGGGCTTTAGCTGGCACCTGTCTGTCTTTATGGGAGGTCGCTCAGTCTCAGTGCATTTAGTGCCGTTTACATGGTGCTCCCTACAATGCTTTTCAGTCCCACTTTAGACACATAATTGGGTTAGAACGGTTGCCAACAAAGAGCCCATCAATGCCTAACACCCACGGCAATTAACAACCATCTCATTGCCACAGGGCCCTCTATTGTTTCTGGTAGATTGTTGTAAACTCCCGGTAAAATTGCATCAGGAATTATATGGCTTCACCTTGGTAATGGGAACATCAGCTTTTTTTTTTTTTTTTTTTTTTTTTTTTGGTAGGAATCTATGATTCTTGTAAATGTACAGAAACAAAGTAATTCAACAATGCTGTAAAAGGGGAGGATGTAAAATGTAACCACATCTGTAGCCTTCATCTACTCAAAGACACCACCCCCCACCCCCCACCCCCCCCATCCTTATGCATAATTGATTTTCAAGCATTTTGGAAACTCCTACCATTTCCACTTAGGTGCAGCTGTAGGTTTAACCTGGCCCTCCCTGAGAAAATGACTGAGCAGTGCCAAATGCTTTTAACATGCAAGGAATGAAAAATCCGTGGCACAAGAAAATTTCAGAGGGTGTATGCTTACCCAAACCAACAGATTATAGAAAAATGATATAGGTTTTATATTTGCCTATGTTTAAGATGCTTTAAACTTTCTGTTTGCTTTGCATGACTGGAGCAGTTATTGACAACTAAGGTGGCAGAGCTGATAACTCCTGGGCATGATCTATATCCCAAAACACACTGGTGCATCTTTTGGTATAGACAGCCCTTGATTTATGGAGATTATGCAGCAACACCTGGGCTCTTTCCCAGACCAACACAAACCTTAGGCAAAACAGACAGGGACAGTTCTGAAACCATTAGTACCTGATACAGAAACAAGCCCACATGAGCTCTTGCATTGGCTTTTCTCTGCATCTGGTCCCTTCTCTGATGTCAATAAAGGTGAACTGTACTGACCTCAACAGAGTAGCTGAAGACAATCAGGTCTGCAAAGATTGTGTGCTTTTTTTCTGTCTCCTTCTTTCACTCCACACTGAGGAACAGCTGGTTATAAACCTCACTTCAGATGAAACATTTGTCTCCACTGCCATGCCTTACAACAGAGCTCTTCCAACTGTGACCCCTAAGCCTCATACAAACAGTGAACAGTAGTAATAATGATAAAATATGTCACCCAGGAAGAAATCCAAGTGATAAAAAATGTCTTGTCAAAAATCTATAGAATTCCATTTTCTTATGACTCAGCCTAAATTGCTTAAGGATTAGATAATCAAAATAATTTACTCAGATTTTTGCATTCAGTAGATATAAACATAATGTAAGAATAAGCAGAGTAAGTAAAAAAGCAGAAGACATTTGACAAAAAGAGTATTAACATATACATACTTTTGTATTTAAATTGAAGATTTTTTCATCTGGGGGAGAAGACTTGATTAATTGCTGTCTTCTATTTCTGGTCTTTGAGGTAGAGAGGATTGGGAAGTTCTGCAGAGTCCTGGTGATCTGTGTCTGTCACTGTCGCCATCTCTCAGCCACTCTCCTGCCTGATGCTGGTCCTTCAAGAGCAGGGCATCTCCCCTCAGAACCCCAGAGGAATTAATCTGCATTTCCATTTGATCAACTGAGATTTTTCACATGTTTTCAGTGATGCTGGGAGGCAGCAACAATCACTGTAAGTGATCTGCCAGATTAACTTTCCTGTGTAGTAACACTGCTGAGGTGTTACCGATGTTTGCATTAATTCTTTCTTTTCCCCTTAACATAAGGACCTGCCTCTGGTATCTTTGTTTTAATGACTCCTGATCAACATTTGCAATAATCAGGTTCACCCCTAACTCTGCTTTTGTTAAGACAGTGTAAGTTGAAGCTGAGGAAGTTATTTAGAACTTGTAGGCATGGATTGGAATTGTTATTTTGATGATTAGCTTATATTTTAGAATAAGAATGTAAAAATGCCATGTACGTTACATTAGGCAGCTTTTAAAATAACTTAGTTCTTCATAGGATGCTAAATTTCCCAAGCCCTTCCCTAACTTCCTCCCTTCCAAGTTGTGAATCCTCCCTATCCCTACCCCTTTCTCCAGAGAGCTGTGTCTGTCTTGTTGCCCTCGACACCCCATTCGTTACTTTGTATTATTCCCCCCCCATTTTCCCTGATAGACTTGCAAGCTATTTACCCCACCTTATACCCCTCCCTTACCATATCCTCATTAGTTCACTTTCCTACATCCCTACTCCTGAGCTGCTGTATAAAAACTTCTGTTCACCCCCCCGGCCCCAGGCTTGTCTGGGAGCCCAGGAATAAATCCATCGTGTCCCACCCCACGAGCTGTGTGCCATCGCTGTGTGTCCATGCCGGAGCTGCCGATAACTGGGACTGCAGCACTCGCAGGGCACAGCCGCGCCCCCGCCGCAGCCACCCAGCACACCTCACGCTGCAACAATGGCATTGGAAAAACCTCTAGACATCTGTTTCAGTGGTAGGTAAATATTAATGTAATTCTGAAAATTCCACAGAGCACCTATGCATCTTTTATAATAACTTTCAGAGATGTCAAACTGAATTCCTGATGCAATCAAACAGTTCATGGAATCAGATAGTCTAGGTTTAGTTATTAATGTGCACAGTTAAACTGTACCTATTTTGGACCCAACATTTAATTGCCTAGGAGAAATATTCCCCATCTCAACTCTTTTTTGACCAGTCTCTTTGTATATTTTAATAGACCTCGACATCAGGCAAAGAGGTATCTGGAAAAGGAATGTGCAGCCTTAACATCATCTCAACCCCAGTTAGAAGTCACAGATGCTGTAGTTTAGTTCATATTCAAATATTTTTTTTTACCACACATTAGACATGGAAGGAAATGCAGCAGAGAAAAAATAACCCTCTGAAAAAAGGGAGAGTGGATTAAAACTTACCATCCATGAGCTACAGTGTCACCAAGGACCAGAGGCTTGCTAGATGCATCAAGAGGGATTTGAGTTTGGTGTTTTTATCAGTCCTCCATAATTTAATGCCGAGTGTCAAGTTAATAAGAAGGTCACAATGGTAGATTTTGCCTTTCAGCCACCTTGCTAGGACCACACACCTTGCCAGGCATTATTTTGTGCTGGTATAAATTCAGGTATTTCAGACATGGGTGAAGGAAGGTGACAGGTACTGCCTGGCTGTGTCACATGGTAACCAGGGAAGACTTTCGCTCTTAGCAGAGTGAAATCCCCCAGAGTTTGGGGGTTTCAACCCTTTCTAGTGAAGATGGAGGAAGCTGTTCCATGGATGAAAAACTGTAGATTAAGCATTTCTACAGATGCCACTGAACTTCAAAGATTTACAAAACCTCTGAGGCTGGAACAGAGAAGAAAATGTTTCCATCTTTTCATTTAAAAAATTGATTTTATTTTTGTCTAATTTCAATGCCTTTTACAGTTTACACTTTCAACAAAATTTCATTCAAGGAAAAGACAAACAAAATCCTACTGTGCTACCATTGTAATCCCACATGAACTAACTAACTGCAGCCAAGGGAACAAGAAAAAGAAAACACATTTTTTATGTCAACATGTAAAAAAACACCTTTTTGGAAGCAGTAATTGTTGGAAAACACTTTTGTGAAATACAGAAAACATCAACATTTCTACTGATTAACTCAAAGTTCAGGGAAAAGAAATTTAAGCTCAAAAGCAGTGAAGCACTTGAGGATGGTGAAGGCTCCTGCTGGCATTTGTAGCTAAACGGAGGTAGGGCTGTGTTTTGTTTTAGTTAAGCTGGAAGATGCAGCTTCTCCTTAGTCCATGTCCTGGCTAATGCAGCTCCACCAGAAATCCTGGCCGATGTGCTTGTCTTCACTGCAGAGGAAAGACTGTCCAGAGGAAGTCTGCTTTGCCTTTCAGCTCCAGGTTGAATTTGTAAGGGCCTTTCACCTCTGGGCTCTGTGAGGATCAGCTGCAAGGGGGATCCTGGCAGCCAGCTGTGAGTGCAGGCTGCAGAGGGAACACTGCTGCTAAAGGGATGTGGCACAGGCGCAAGGTTTGCTTGGTGGGGAATATTTGCTTCCAGTGGCAGAAAGGATGGCTGGATAAACAGGTATGAAATCAGAAAAGAAAAGCTTCCAGGAAGTGCATTAAATATTTAAGAAGGATGTTACTGTTAATAGCATTAAATGCATACTAAGGTTAAGAAGGCTGAAAGGCCAAGCTTTGTCTAAGATTCTTATGTTGTGCCTCTCACCTGTGCAGAGTCAGGGAGCACTGGCAGTTCTAGAAAGAGGCAGAAAACCCCAGAGCTTGCATTGGCAAAGAGAAGAGGTGCTTATTTTATGATTCATGACATTACTTCAGAATTGTGCTGACTTCAGCTGTTACAGTAACAGCACTCATCAGTAAGTGAAGCCTCTTGGGGAATGTGGGCAGGCTGTGATGTTCATCTCCCAGAAGGGGAAGCAAGTAGCGGGTACACAAATATCTCCTCTGAAATGCCAAGGGCACTAGAAATCTCTACAGAACATCAAAAAGTTTTCTGTAACAGAGCCATACAACTATCAAATGACAGAAGAGCTCACAGGAATTGCCTGAATGAAGATTTAGCAAGTTGTCTACAGCATTTTAGCATGATGGATTTTGAATTTCATTTCATATATTTGTTTTCTAAGAGAAAATGTCACTGAAGAGGCAGAAGGCTGTCTTCCAGCTCTCACCATCATTTCCAGTAGCCATTGCTCATTTACATGAGCAGGGAAGAACAAGAAACAGAAAGAAAGCGACAACAGGTGTCCCCTCTTGATGCAGCAGAAGTTTCCCATGCTCCCAGTGCTGCCCATTTCGGGGCCTATAGGGAGAGCACAGCCTAGGAACCAAATTCTACCATGAACAATATTGCTACCACTCATTCTGATTTTATTTTTCTCCTTCAAAGTATCAAAATAAACTTACAAATTGTCATCCAAAACTTATCATCTGCCCCTCAAATTACCCTCAGGCTAATGGATACAAAGTTTTGTAGCAGTTTGCCACATGGACTGCAACTGATGAGAGCCTAAAGATCAACAGGGCTGCAACCTACCTCAACTCAGTGATTCCAAATTCCTTGTAAGGAGACAGACCTGGAAAACCACTACTCCCACAGGTGTTCATTCCCCCACAAAGATGTTTTGAAGTTCAGGTGTGAAAAGGCCGCAATTTCCTCTGCTGAAGTGTGCTTCTGTCTCCAAACTGATGGTCCTTGCTTTGCTGAAGACAGTCAGTCTCTGGCTGTGCCTACAAGTCATGTTCTTGACTTTGGGGCATGGGCACGCTGGCTGTATTTTAGGAATTGAACTCTGCTGAAAAATGAGACACCTGGAGGCTTTGGTTTCTTTTTACACAAATTAAGCAGCAGGATTGTCAGTCCATTCCCACAGAAACGGCCCTTAAACCCTTTTCCAACCCATTTCACTCCAGCTGCTCTTCCAAGAAGCCAGTGCTTGGCTTGTCAGCTGCTTCTGCACTTACCTCCATGCTGGCACAGGTTCAGAGGTGGAAATCACCATCATCCATGGAAGAGTCCCAGTCCCAGTGTGATCCCTGCTTCCTGGAACAAGTTACAGCAAACACCAAGACAGCTACCCTGGATCCACGGACATGTTACCACAGCACTTTCTGAGCTGTCATTCTCCCTACCTCAAACATGAGTTAGTTGTTTCTCCTGCAATATCATAAGTAGGTGAATGTTTCGGGATAACACTACAGACCAAGAAAGGGGTTGTTCTGCTTTGATAGAATTTCATCCTCTTCCACAGGTGAAAAATGCAGGCTAACAGTATCTTCCACTTTCCATTTCAAGCTGAGTACTTGGCACTTTCATTTTCATTCTGGTAGATCCAGAACAGCTTTTCTGCAGTAAGAAAAAGCAGTTCAGTGCCGGGACAAATAAGATTTTACATGCAGCCTGATGGAGAACTGGCTGACATCCAGCTCTGAATGACAGCATGTAAAAGCTGCCCTTTGTGAAACTCTCATCTGTTCTCCCTGCCCTTCTCTAGCCCAGCACCAAGAGCCATGGGACCTCCTGGCCAGAGTTTGCTGCCCTGCGACTCTGGAGTCAGACTGAGTGTACACTGCCAGCAAACCAAGGTGGGGGAAACCAAGCAAGTGGCTACTGTGACGGCCACTGATTGCAGGATTATATATCCGTGGCACCGTTGGGATCATCAGTTTTGCACAGAAGCCAGCACAGAGCACGAACTAAATTGCTTGTCCCACGCTCAGCCCAGGCGGGTCTCACCTCGGGAATGCGGAGCAGACACCGCCCGGTTCGGCGGGGCGGGCCGGGCCGTGCCGTGCCGTGCCGTGCCGTGCGGCGCTGCGGGCCGCCGCCGCCAGGGGCCGCCGGTGGGGCTGCCGGTGCCGGCCGCGCTCGGAGGCGCCGCGGCGGGGCCGCCCGTGCTCGCCTCGCGCGGCATCTCCGCCGGGGCCGCTCGGGGCGCGGCAGGGGGATGCGCGGCCGGGCGGCGCGGGCACAGCTCCGCCGCCGGGGACAGCGTCCCCACAGGGGCAGCCGCGGCCGCCCACACCTGGCGGCGGCCCTGGGAGCCGGATCGGGCCGAAGCGGAGGTACGCGCCGCCCCGGGCGCGGGAGGGGGGCTGGCCGCAGCGGGAAGGCAGGGCCGGGCCGCCGGAGGCCGCTCCGTCCCGGTTCTCCCCGGGGACACGGCCTGCACCCCTTCTGGCCGCGCCCGATGGAGCCGGGGATAGGTGGCCGCAAAGACGTCACGGCGGCAGGATTGCCTCAGGTGATCGCACCCGTGCCATTTCACCGGGCACCGCGGACGAGGGTGTGCCCGGGAATGGAATTTGACCCTCTGACGCACCCTGGATCGATTAAATCATTCCACCGAGTCCCTGAGCTTTCGCTCCTCATCGCCAGAGGTACAAAGTGTACGCAAGGTTTGCCCCCCCAGGGGAGGGCACGGCTGGTGCTCTCCGGGAGGAGCTGGCAAGGATGGTGTGAGCCCGGCGGCCACACGCAAATCCTACCGCTGTGCGAGCTGCGAGACAGCGGCGGGCTGGGCTGGAGCAGGAGGAGTTAGTCAGGGGCTGAGTCACGATTGGGTTTGCCCGCGGTAAGCCTGTCTTTTCCTGTTTGCCTGTGATCTACCGGCTGCCGAGTGGTCCGATTTAACCTCCTTTTACTTTTTTTTTCTCCAGGGATGACATCTAAGGATGCTTCAGGTAAAGCTAATAGTAACTGGAGATGACTTCGGCTATTGCCCTCGGAGAAACCAAGGCATCGTGGACTGTTTCCTGGCTGGTGCGGTATCTAATGTGTCCCTTCTAGTCAACGGAAGTGCTGCAGCAGATGCAGCCAAGCTGGCAAGGAGGTAAGCTACTCTCTTTACGTCCTTTGTGGACATCCTCCAGAGAAAACCAAGCCTGGGAAATTTAGTATTTTGTAGCCCCAGAATAAAGACTGTATCATAGCTCAGGCTGGTATGAGAAAACTGTATTCAGACTCATTTACTATGACTCTTCATAGTAAAATTAGTGATCTGCTAACTAATACCAGTAATGGTCTTTCTCTAGTATTGGCCACTACACCTTTCCCCCCCCTCGGGATAGGAAGCCATTTCCACTATTTGACTAGTAGAATTTGGGTTTGTCAGACTTTCTCCTTCCACACTTCTAAAAATGCATAATCAGAAGGAAAGTGCACATTGTATACTCAGACCAGTTTGCTACCCCTAAAAGTATATGAGCATAAAACCACAATTCTTTAAAGTTCATTTAATCGATCCATTTCACCCAGGTTGAACACAAGGTCAGCCAGGCTCATTGCAGAATTAGGCAAAGGTGTGATTCTGCAAAGGCTTATTTATAAAACTTGGCAGTGGAAAACCTGACTTTTTCCCCATCCTGTAAGCCTTTTAAAAAAAGCACATCAGTATTTCTATTAATTCTAGGCTTGATAAACATATCTGTAAAAATGCATACATAAAGAAAGGGACAATACCTTGTACCTACCACCTTCACTTCTTCACCAACTTCAGAGGCTGCTGGCACAGTTAGCTCTGCAGTGGATCAAATACTATGTGTCAGTCTCATAGTCTAGTCCAGCAAATCCTTTAATAGGAAGCATTATTTGTGTTTAGGAGGTAAAACCCAGCTAATCCTTCAGCTCTGGTGTGGGCAGGTGCTTGGAAGCAGAAATATGTCCTGAAAGAGAGAACATCAGGGTTGAGAAACAATTTAGGAAAGCAGAAAATTAAAGGAGCTGTATTGCTATTAAATAAACAGAGACCTTATGCTTCAAATGCAGCTGCTGTGGGGAAGAGTTTTGTGGGAGTCCTGCTGACCTTGTTCTCACTGAGCATCCATCCTCAATTTGCTGTAATTTTAGGGGTACTTGGAAATTGCTTGTAGCTTCTTTGGAGCAGGGTGGTGGAGGATTGCCATGTTAGTGGCAATCTGGTCTGTAAAAAGGTTAGAGATTCCCCACAAACATCGAGGGAGGAACTGCCAGGGAATGAGAAGGGGAGAGGCATGACACCAGTAAGGTTCCTAAAATCCTATTAGCAAATGAAACATAAACCACAGAGATAAAACCAGCACATCTCTCAGACACAGAGGCACTGTGAAACCCTTTAAGCCCCAGTGGTCTGGTAATATTGTCAGCTATTTTAGCCATGGTCTTTAGCAGGCTTTTAAAATAGAATCCACCTGGCCTCATTTCCATTGCCAGGAAGTAGGCCATGTAATCAGGGGTTTAAAAAGCATCTTTGAATCCAGGTCATGACACTGGTGCTGGCAGCTGATATGGGCGTGAAAAGCCAGGTTAGAGGGCAGGGGACCACAGAGGCTGCAGCCTGCTGCTACAATTAGATTATTTGATTTTGGCGGGGGTAGGGAGGTGGGGAATGGGCATGGGGGAAATGTAATTTTGAATTGTCAACGTGAGTGAAATGGATTTAAATCTGTTTCTGAGCATATAAGCAGGGTGACTTTGGGAACATCTGCCAGCTCTGAAGATCAACAGTACAGGTTCTACAGTTCCTCATTTGTATAACTGCAGGTGTATTCAGCCCTACCCAGCCATGGCAGGAGCATTAGTAGGTGTGGAGAAGAGGTTTCCTCACTGTAATGGAAGCCCAGCTTCAGCTGCTGTTAATTGGCACCTGTGTGTGTAAACAAACCCCTGTGTCACCCCTGAGATGTTTGTTCATGTTACAAAGGCTGACGCAAACTCTTTCTACACAGATGACAAATAGGTCAGACTTGCTAGAAATGTCACTGAGTCCTCCTCATCCTGCAGTGCAGAAGTGGGAAAGTATCACTTGCTTGACTGTTTGCCAATATTATTCCATCTTTCCCCTTCTTGGTGACGTCTCCCATCCCACCATAAATATTGAGGCTTTTTATTTTATGGGATGAAAGTCTGCCTGTTGTTTTTTTTTATTCCTCATGTTTGTCTTGCCCTGTTCAGCCTTGACAGTGGCATAAGCAGGAAGAGTGGATCTATCCCCAGCTGAGAGAAGAGGCTTAAAGCAAGTAGCTTGTCCTTTCCTGGGGCACATTCCAGTGCTGTGGAATTTGGTCTTTCACACACATGGTGCCAGGATTGTCAGAGTGATGGACTGCTTTTATGACTTCTTGATAAACTATTGAACGATTGCTTGTAACTGCAAATCTTAAGCTCTCACTCCTCACCTGGTTTTAAGCTAATTGGACACAGGCAGAGCTAATTAATAAGTAGACAATTTTTCCTTCCTAAGGCACCTCATGCTGCCCTACAATGTTAGGGCTTTGTATCCTTCAGAAAGGAACACAGTTCCTCTGAAATTTCTTTCTTCCTTTCATTTTCACAATAATTCTGTGGTTTCTGGGTATACCATCTGTTGCCCCAAGTCTTGATTAAAAGCCTTGGTAGACATGTGATGATAGGCAGCAGATCTTTGTATCAGCTCTAACACAAGCCAACTGCAGAACAGCAGAACTAAGCAGTAAAAAATACACCTTCCTTTACATTCAGGCTCAGCACCTTGGGCTTTCCACTGTCACAACTGGACTGAAAGAAGGGGCACACTCATTTCTGGCAACAGGGGAGTTTCAGCAGAGGCCTGATTCATCACCAAATGACAAACCTATTGATACCATCTGCCAGAGCAGAACATAACCAGAGCAGCAGGTGGGAGAACAGACTGCTATTGTGGGTTGAGGGTTTTTTCAGTAACTCAAAACTTTCCTCTTTATGGGGCCTTGACTGACTGTGATTTCCTGCTTATCCATATAATATAATCTCAATTTTCTACTTAACAGGCCCTGCCTTGAAGTCAGCCAGACTTCCTGGTGATTATTCCAGAGCCTTTCCCAGAAACTGGAAGGGTTGTTTTGTAACCTGAAATGAAGAGATGCCTTAAATTTTCCTTAGAAGTATGGAGATAGAAATAGAGACACCTAACAGTTTGCTGCTATATCCCCCTCCCCTTTACATCAAACAGTTCAGGTGTCACTGAGCCTTAGGACCTGTTTTCATTTGTGTCCAAATAGCTTATGAAGATTGACATATTTTAGAACACAGCTGAACCTCAGTCTTCCTGGGTATTTTTTAAAATTTAGTACTGAACATCAGCTAAAGCCCCCAGAACATCTGGGTACATGTAACAGAAGAATCTAACAAAGCCACTTTTAATCACTCTATGTTTTCACTTCCTTTCCCATCAACACTAATTGCAGAATGTGTGTGTAAATTGTGACTTAATTCTGACCCTCCCAGTTAACATCTGACTCATCTAGAAATCCCTCATGCTTCTCATCAACCCTTGTATGTGACTGTTAATCACACAACAGACAGTTCCTCTGCTGAACTGTCTGGATAGGGGTGGGACCCAATCTGAAGCCTTACACTAGAATCCCAGATCATATTGACTTCACTGGCAACAGTCCATTTTACTGATGTAAGGCTGCAGTCACAGGAGCGGCACTTGATACAAAGATGTAATTACAACAGAAACTCAGGTCCCTAAGCTAACAGCATCAGCTCTCAACACTGCAAAGGCTCTAGAGTCTTTCTGGCAGAAGAAAAAGTTTTTAGCAGTAATAGAGCAAAAAAATATGCTATTTGATGAAAGACAGATATCACTGAATGGTGAAAGTGTGTGTGAGGAGCACAAATGCCAACATGAGGAAACTAAGAAGTGCACATTTTTACTCAAAGCCTTGCTTTGTCTGGCTTCAGACACTTGGGTGTTCACTGGAGTGGGATGTTCAGATACAGATATTTACATGAGGCTCTGACTTGGGTCACACTTGGGCTGAAACCTGATGATCAGCAGTTTCCTGAGTGATACAAATAGGTTGTGGAAGGTGGGATCTGTTTGCCCATTAAGGGAAAGAGTAAAGTGCCATGCTTATGCCAGAGCATCCAGCCTTCAGCAAGGCAGCTGGAACAGTGCTTGGCAAATCTCATCATTCTCACAGCCATTGCAATTGTCCTGTGGCATGGGCAGGCAGGACCCAGGACATTGTCACTCACCACCAACCACAGAGTGACTCAGCGCAGTTCCCATCTCCAGGTCAGTGCACAGGGATTGCAGCTGCACGTTGCCTCAGCAGAGACATTTATTCAGAGCGCTCATGTGGCAAACAAGCAACTACTTGAAAAGGAAGCAGTTTAAGCAGTTTAACTGATTGTATTTCCTCTCTCTTTGATAACTGGACTAGGCCTGCTGACTCAGAAATCTTTCCAGGGCGAATTCCTTCTAGCACCTGCTGTAAGGATAGTTCCTCCTGCACAAGCCTCTCCTTTTTAACCCCCACCTCTACAGGGAATGCTGAGAAGACAGCCACAGAGGTAACAGCCAACTTTCAGTGCAAACAGCTCACTAGGGCATTGACCTCAGTGGCCTGAACCTCTTCTCCACAAGTTCCCAAGCAGCTCAGTCTAATATTGCTCTTTCTGTAGGAGCACTTACCTGTAGCCAACGTCCTGGGACTTTATCAGGAGTGAAGTGAACCCCTGTGCTAGGTCCTGCTTCATCTCTGCATTCCCTGGGGCACTGGGACAGACTTGCAAACACAGAGGGGCCTCTCCAAATAGACTGGAAGGGTCATTGCCATTTAAAAGACTCACCAAAAAGGATTTAGGAACACCAAGTAGATTCTTCACATAATTTTGTTTTGGCATGGTAGCTGTGTGCAGAAACTAACCTGTTGCCTGAAGCCCAATACCAATCCTTTTTTTTTTTTTTTTTGCATCTTGTGTGAGCAATTAGCAGTTAATGACCAGCAGTGACCAGCAGGGCTCACCCTGTGCCATCTGGAAATGGCTTGGGCAGAGCAGTATGAGGCCAAACCCACAACAGCTGAGCTCTGGTCCCAGGGCAGCATCACATGCTGTGTAAGCTGCTTGAGCTCCTGGTCTCTGCTTCAGTATTTCAGCCAACAAATTAGCAGCTATTTTACAGTCTTTTGAAAGATGTGGGCAACTGCAAAGTGTATTTCTGTAGCAGAAACAATCATATGTGTTCTGAAAAGTGGGCCCTCTCAGGATATTCCTTCACCTTGACTTTTCTCCCTGCGAGCTTGCAGTAGAACTCTGCTGTGCCTACTGATCTGCCCTTCTCCCTATATCCTTACAGCCTTCCCAGCACGCCTTCTTCTGTGCACCTCCCACAGATGAGTATTTCTGAACAAGTTTCTCATGTGCAGCTTTTTGAGTTTTGCTTTCAGTGCCTCTATCCCAGAGCCATTAAACACAAGTTAGTTAGTTCCTCTCCAGACACCTCAGCATGCTCAGTCTGTCAAACCAGAACTGACTCCACGAGAAAACTATTAAGATATTCAGCTGGTGTTAGGCAAAGCTCTGAAACACTCTCTAATGTTACAGTCAGGGTCTCCTCTTACCCGAGGACAAGGCCAGCTCTCTCTGCACTTCCACATTCTGCACATTCCGCAGCTCTGGGGCTGGGTTCGGCTCTGGCCAGGGGCTGCTCTCAAGTTTCTCAGTGCAGCCCTTGGCTCCTTGGTGTCCCACACCTGTCAGAGGGACTTGCCTTCTCCTGGAAATAGCCTCTCTCACAGCATCTGAGGCATTTCACAATGGAGGCAGTTCATTTGATGCTCCTGGGAGACAACACTGAGAGGCTCAGCTGTTCATTTCTTGCCCTCCCACAACACATGAGAAAGAGAGTACTCAACAGAAAAAGTCCATCTGCTGATTCATGGTAACACAGGAATCCTTTTTTTCTTGCAAACAGCAGTGGGCTGTGGTACAAATAATACTCCAGCTGAGGCAGTAAGAACTTCCCAGAGACAAGAATCTGTGGAGGACTTCTAAAAGAAAACCAAAACAAAACCGCAGGTTTCCCCTCTGCCTTTGGGGTTGTGCAGGATGGAGGGGAAGCCCTCCTGCCACAGCAGCCCTTCTGCACTGTAGCTGCCTCCTGTGCTGCCCTGCAGCCCGTCACCCCCAGTGACACACTTTCACTTCTTGTATTAGCCAGGAGTTGCTGTGCACACGTGCCCAGGCCCCTGCTATGATGAACATTTATCATCAGTGAAACAATCGGGCCCTGCTGCACAGAAACCACCAGATCAGAGAAGCTAGAGAGGACTTTTTTCTCCACAAGCTGTTCTGCTCCATTAAACAAACATTCAAGCTCCTTAATCACACAAAGGACTAATTTTGTTCCACAGAGCTGTGCATACAATTTGACTCCTAACATTTATGTCTTTGAGAAGTAGTATCTAGCAACTGACTGCACCATCTACCTGGATCACAAGACATGGGAAGAGCCAGGAAAAATGATTTCCAGTCCTTCAAGGGCCAAAATGAGCTAAATGACTCTGACTCGGTCCAGTCCCATCCACAGTCCTGTCTCCAGTGAGCTGGTGCTTCATCAATCAGCTTCAGATCTCAGACAAGGGGAAGATCTTGGTTTTGCACCCTTTGCCTCAATGGAGATTGTTTTTGTTTTCCTTGTGGTAGAAGGGTTGTACCAGGGACACACCACACCCACTTTTAATAGCTCCATGCAGAAGTTCCAAGGATTTAAAACATCACAGACTTGCCTTGAAATTCACTCTGCACCATGACTCAGACTGGGCAGCACAAATGGAACATTGCAGTTCTGTCATCCACTCACTGGGTCAGCCAGAGGCCACGGGTTGTCTTGGAAAAAGTTTCAAAGCATCATTTTGGCTACTGATTCTGAGGATTTCCAGAAATGCTAATGAGACCAGCACAAATCCAAGCATGCACAAGTCCTGTTCTCATTGTAGGGAAATCCACAGCACAGACCAAGAAGGAAACACCAGCACTCTCTAAGCCCTGAGGGGAGCTCTGCAGCCACACCAGCTCTGTAGTTCTTTTTTTTTTTTTTTTTTTTTTTTTTTTTTTTTTTTTTTTTTTTACGAATGTTACAGCAATTTAAAATGTGCAACTGGGTAATCAGTTATACCCTGGGACTCCTTAGCAAGGCTCTACACTTCACTGAGGGCCTCCTTGCACTAATCCTTCTTTGGCTGTGCTAGGGAGATGCTGCTCTGTACAGCTCATCCTTGCCACTCACTGAGTGGTTGTTGCAGTAGACAGAAGCCTGGCCACTGCAGGCAATTCCAGCTGCAGCTCCTTGTATTTCCACCTGTAGCCTGTGCTGTTGCCATAACAGCTTCCTTGGCACTGTTTATATATAAATTACTGGATTCTACTTAAGGGCAGCTTTAGGAGACTTCAAGTAAAACTTGAATGTCTCATAAATGTACCATCTTTAACAGGGTGAACAACTCAAGGGGATACCTAGCAAGGGCTAAGGGAGCACTTTAGAAAAAGCTGCAAGATCTGGATTTTTCAGTTGGTTATCAGTGACTGCAGCTCCTGGAGTGCAGTTACAGCATTTAGCCCAAGATACCTCATGCTGTGAGCCAGGATGGGGGCACTCACAGGCTGGCCCTGGGTAGAGTGCTCAGGGATGTTACCTGCAGATGTCCTGCTCTGGTTGGGGTCGCTCTGTCATCCTTTCTGGCAGAGATACAAAGATGTACTCCAGTGAGTACTGCAACACCTCCAAGATCAGTGTGGTTCTTACTATTTAATCTCCCCTTCTTTGACCACAGTGAGAGAGGTGCAAAGCTTGGCTGACATTTCACTCTCTTACAGATATAACATCCCAATAGGCCTGCATGCCAACCTCTCTGAGGGCTCTCCTGTATGTGAGGTGCTCAAGACAAACTCTTCTCTGCTCAACCAAGATGGATTCTTCCATGGAAAAATGGGATTCAGAACAGCTCTATCAAAAGGTCTCCTGAATATGTCAGAGGTAGGAGAAGGCCACATGCAGCTGTACAACTTGCCTTTCTGATGCAAATCAGCCTGCATTTATCCCAGCACATAACAGCTGAGGACCTTTCCCAGATCTCAGCTGTGAGTAGGCTTAGAGATGAACTCTGCCTGTGCAGCCTGAGCTGGCTTTTAGGTCCTGGGCCTCATTCTGCCAAAGGCTCTGCAGCCTCTGAGAACCCATTCCTCCCTGATTCAGTACCTGTATACACTGTTAACTATCTGAGGAGGTAGAGGGGGCATTGGAACAGGTATTTACAAAAAACCAAAAGATCAGTAAAGAGCAAATGACAGAAAAGTCCTAAGCAGGTACCAGGCTTTTGATCAGCTTATGAGAAGTTTTGGTTCTCTAGGGAGATGACTGGTTTTGCCTCATGAGCAAGGTTGAACATGTTCAGGTGATCAAAACTGCATCCATTTTAATCAGAAATGGGTGTTCAAATATCCTGTGTAGGTAGAGCATCCCCATAAGCACCATCCCCATAAGCAGAACCACAAAGAGCCCCGTGCCCAAGGGAGGCTCTGGGTAGCCCAGCAGTGCTGCACATCCCTGTACAACCACAGCACCTGCTGCTCCCCCGAGCTAGGTCCTGACTCCTGCCCAGTGAGGTCCCAGCAGCCCCATCACTCCCCTGCTCTCAGCCTCTGCCAGGTCTTGCTCTGACCCTTTTCTGCTGCACAGGTGAAGCAGGAGCTAAAGGCCCAGGTGGAGCTGTTCCATGAGCTGACAGGTCACCTACCTCCTCACATGGATGGACACCAGCATGTCCATGTTCTCCCAGGTAAGAAGGAAATCTCCTTGCCAGCACCAAGCAGGTAAGAGATTCAGCTCAGAGGGGACTCTCCCTGCCACAGCTCCTGTATGGGCAATAAGCCCCACCACAAGACACTGCTGGCAGTTGCAGTTTGAATGTTCCCACCTGACCCCACAGTCCTGCCCAGACCCAAACTCTGCTTGGAGCCCTGGGCCTTCCCATAGCAGCACCAGGGCATTAAGGACACAAATGGCCAAGGTTACACCTCTTCCTCCAAGGACCAGTAACTCTCCTCAGCATCCTAATTCCATGTTCTCACCCACACTGAAGGAGGCAGACCAAAGCCAGCAGCAGGCTGGCCAGTTTAAACTGGAATGATGGAGCTTGCAATAGCTGGTGACTCTTTCAGATGCTACAAGAACTCCATCCTGTCCACTGTGTTCTCACCCCAGTCCCCTTCTGCAGATCTCAGCTTTAGAGATGAGCAAGGATCTTTTGTCCTTGTTTTGCAAATAAAGTCATTGTGGTACACAGATGGAAAATGGAGTGAGAAAAGAATCCAAGTTTTCCCACTCCAGTACTAACTGCCTCCAGATAACATTGCTCTGGCTGTACAAGGACTTGAGGAGGAATTTGTTCCTGACAGTGCAGTCACCTGTGGTGCACTCTAACACCAGAGTCACTCAGTTAGAAAGGGGCTGGACTAAAGGCTGCTGGAAGGAAGGATGACAAGGTAGCTACAGCAGAAATTCAGGGAGAAATGTTCCAGCATAGAAGGTAACTCCCATGCAGATGGGTTTCAGCAGAAGATAAACCAAATTAAATTTTATTTTCTTAAACACAGAAAGGAAAGAAGCCTCTGTGCTAACAGCTTGCAGGGAACACAAGAAGCTGGTTATCCAACTCCTGACTGCAGTCTCTGGTTTTACTTGCAGAGGTGAGGCATGTATTTGCAGAGGTGTTAGAGGAATATGGGATTAAGTACACACGTGTCCCCATAGAGCCAGGCCTTCATAACTGTGACTGGATTCCACCATCCCTGATGGACTTTTACCTGGGAGTAGAAGAAGATTCTTTTAACACAGTGGATGTGTTTACAAAGCATGGAATAAGGTAAGACAGGTATTACTCATCCTTTTTTGTAGTAAAACATTAAGATTGTATCAGTGTCTGATAGTATCTTTCAAAAATGGAACACCATCTTTCTCTTTTCTCTTTCGATTTAGAGAAAGGTTCAGGAGGAGCACGAAAGTGCCAGGGGCACAATGGCTTAGGAAGTTTTGTTTGAATAGAGATGAGTCACTTTCCATTTGAAAAGGAATGTTCTTTTCAGGGTATGCTTTTCAGCCTTTCTAGTAAAGCTGCATCAGCCTGGCATCTGGAATGCCAGGAGAAATGCTGCATCAATGCTGGAATTTTAAAAGTATTATCTAAGGAAAGCTTTCAAGAACTAAATGTTCATCTTCCTGTCCTAGTAAAGGGTTTTAAGCAGCAGGAATGAGACTAATTAGAAGCAGGTATTTGTAAAGGGAAAGCAATAAGCTCTGAGAGCTGGTAGTACCACAGCTGTAAGCAAACAGCCTTGTCAGTGTCCTGCATCTCAAGGGCCAAAGCCTGAAAACTCAGCCCTTCCCCCAGTAAAATCCTTCACTTAAAAGCTTAGACAGTGTTTTATGGGTTAAAGGCCTTTCACTAGAGACCCTTGCAGTCACCTGTTCTTTGGGGCAGACGCCATTACTTCCTCAGTCCACTGGAAACATTATCTTCTGGGATTTTTTTTTGTTTGTATCAGTGGTTCTGAACACCAGCAGCAGGCTGGTATTTCTCCCTTCTCAATAAGAGCTGAGCTGGGCTCTTCTGTGATCATTCAGTTAAAGAGTCCAGCCTTGATTTCTTCTGAAAAGATTTTCATTCTGACCTCACATGCAGTGGCTCAGCTCTCCCGGACTCGTTCAGGTCACACTTAAAACTGACACTTGCAGTCAGACTTGAACAAAGAATTGTGTGAAGCTAAGAAACGGCGTGTATGTGGTGTCCTTTAGGAATAGCATTTTGTCCAGTTATTATTATGGAGCTCTTTCATATATTCTGGCAGAAGGCTTCTTTAGCTGGGTGGTTGCCATTTTATTTCAGTCACTTTTGTTTCTGCTTAGCTGAGGGTTATTATTCAGGCTTAATTTATTTTGATAGTGTGGCATTTCTCAGTTTAGCACTGCTTTTTCCTTTTGGGACAATAAAATGCACCTGTAAGCTCACAAGTGCCCAACACCCCTTGTGCTGTCACACAGTGCTGGGGCTGTGCTGGGCCTTCCTGTCCCTGCAGAACTGCTGCTTGAAGTAGGATCCTGCTTTCAGTCAGGAAAAGTTCTGGTTTTACTTTTGTTTATAGTTAAAAGTTTTTTAAAACTCCTCCCAATTTTCTATCTTAAGTTTTAGGTAAATTTTGATTCCTAATCCACTGGATGTAACACAATTCTCTACCTGCCTCTTCAGCATTAACAGCAGTGTTCCCTCCTCTGGCTGCAGGTGGCCAGACATTTACATAGGCCTGAGCACCATGGGCAGGAACATGTCTGTCAGCAGCATCCGCAGCGCCATCGACAGCGCCGTGCTGCAGCTCAGGGCCGAGGCAGCGCAGAGCGGCACAGTGACCATCGAGCTGATGGTGCACCCAGGCTACCCCAGCGTCCCACCCGTCGGTGGCTGTGGGGAAGGACCAGATGATTTCTCACAGTCCTGGGAACGCCTCCATGAACTCCAGACATTAATTAAGCCAGAGCTGCAGAGCTATTACAAAAACAGGAACATTCAGCTGTGCTCATTCAAAGATCTTTAAATAAATGAGCAGACATCCATCCAAATTCTCTGAAGACACTGATGTCCAGAGAAGCCAGATCACTGTTATCAGTGTCACAGGCTCTGGTACAGCTCACAGGAGCTGTGAACAGCCTGGGAATGGACACCACCACCCTGTGAGCAGCTCCAGGCAGTACCCCAGAGCCCCAGCTGCCACTTTTAAGGCCACAACATCTGCTCGAAAAGTGCCAAACTCCTTCTGTGACACCCCCTCCACAGTGCAGCACACACTCCCAGGGCTCAGTTCCTGCCAGCAAAGGAGCAGCACAGCACCCGGAGGGGCCTGATCATTTCTCCTTTCAGACTCGATTGCAAAACAAGAACCCTGCTGGGGAGCGGGTGCTGCTTTGGAGCACCCATTCAGTGTAGGCCACCCACAGGAAACCCGGACACCTTCAGCATTTGGTTCTCTGAAAGCAGCCAGTCCCTGCCCCTCCACTCGTACCTGCTCTCCGGCAGTGAGGGCTGCAGGGACGCGTCACCTCAGAGCCTTCCTCTGGTCGGAGCAGTCGGGTTACACGTGGCACAATGGGGTCTGCAGCCACCTCAGCCGGCAGGAATTGTCTCTGCCTGTTTTACGTTGCCTCTTGGTGTTAAGCCCCGCCTAGGAAAGTAACATCAGCTGTAGCTCGTTAGGAGAGGCTTCTTATTTTTTGGATGACTTTGCAGGCACAGCAACTCTTGATCCATCTGCTATTTCAGTAACTGCTGTGTATGAGACCAGCAGCAACTGGTCCTGCACCACCCACTGCCCCTCAGGACAACCGTGAGCATGGCTGCGAGTGGAGAAGGTCCCTGTATTTGTCCCTTTTATTCCTGTCACCAGAGCATTCGAACTCAAACAAGCCCCAGTAGTGCTGATATGTTCTTAACTGCAGCCCTGTCATTCCTGTAAGGACTTTCACATGGGGAAAAAATATTGTAGATTGTTTATACTCAATTCTCTGCACAAGAGTGATCTATTTAACATAATTGGTTTTGTTAACAATATTTTTTAATATAAAATCATCATTATTCTTTTAAATCAAAAATAAACTCAGACCTTTTCTATTGCAAGGCTTCAGGAGGCTTTCGGGTTTAATTACACCTCGTGAGTGAACTAAGCCCACTCGCCTGTCTGCTCTCACACCGCCGGGGCCGGGTGAGAGCAGGGCAGGCGTTTCCCCGGCGGTGCCCCGGCCCCGGACAGCGCCGCCCCGTGCCCGCCGGGCCGCACTGCAGCCGCTGCCGGAGCGCAGAGCTCCACCGGGTACGGAACTGTCACCGCGTCCTCACGGATACTTTTAAACCTTACTGTAAACATTTAAACTGCTCCGTGTTCTAAGCGCTGGATTGGCTCTGATCGCACCCGAAATCATCAGGACGTTACACACCTGTGGAATTTTGCATGCATTCACTCGCAGCTGAGCACTGAAGACCTGAGGGTAGCTTTTACCCAAGCACTGTACAGTGAAAAACAGAATTTGTAAATTCATTATTTTTAAATGAAGAGCATTAAACCCAAATTTACGTTTAATTAAAAAAATTAATAATGAACTACTAAAAGACTACTCAATAGGGAACTTTCAATTGCATAAAATATAGGGAGAAAAGAAAATTTCTGAGTCCAAGTTGAAATTACAACACTACTACAATCCCAGTTAATTCCCAGACCTCTGTGAAAATAAAACCATGCCACAAAGCCTTTGAGAGCAATTTTTATTAGGGTAGCAGAATGGACTTGCAGAAAGCCTATACCAGTACTCCTGGGTGTAGTTTCACCAGTGCGCTGCTTTCATTGTGGATGTTCAACTGCACGTTTAAAATTCAGCATGGCTTAGGGAACCAGAGAGAACAAGAGCTTGATTTCCTGAGTTATCATAGGACTTCATACTTGGATTTCTCCTCCTCAGCCTTCAGCCACACAGGTGCCGGATCCCTTTGTTCAGAGGCTGCCCCAGACACGTGCCAGCACTTTGTTTACACGTCTCACAGTTTAGTAATTGGACTATGAAGAACACACCAAGAGGACTGATAGCGAGATCTGTCTTCGTGTGACCTCTGCAGCTGGATGGGAGCGGCCGGTGCGGCCCAGCCGGAGCTCCTGCGATGGCACAGCCCGTCTGTCCGTCCCGCCGCATCCGATCACAGCCAGGCAGGCAGGCAGGCAGGCGCAGTCTTTGACCTGAGAGGCTTTACAACCACAGAGTAACTACTGAGTAGCAACAAGGGCAGCAAACTAGTGCTACAGTTTTGTTTCAAATAAAATTTAGAGAATGGTAAGTTTCCATGCCAACAGACATGATCAAAGGTACAGTGACTCAGGTGATGCAGAAGTTACACACTTCAGTTTGACAGATAATTTGGCATTATTTTATTATGAATCTGAGTGAGTGTAAATGAAACAAAATCAGTACCAACTTTCTGCAAATGAAGACACAAAGATGTGAAAATTTGGTAATCGTGCTCTCACAAGCCTGAAAACACTTAGGAAATGCAAGTTTCCGTAAATAAGGTGAATGTGGTTTAACTTTATTTACCTGCCAAAGAATCTGTCTAAGAACACTTAAACATAAAATTTCTTAGCTCCCTAACTCATAAAAAAATTTACTTTCAACAGAGGTGAGGTACTGGGCTGTCATTGTTTACACTAAATTGGAAATAAAAGCCAGAGGAGAGGGACGAATAAGGAAATAGCAAATACACAAGACATTAAAACCAAGAGAGATCTACTGCTTGACACACTAGTTCCAAAAGGTTGCAAAGGCAGAGGCTGTATTAAAACTGAATTTAGGAGTACAGGCAACCACCTAAGTGTCAGGGTTTTTTCACCTCAGCTTCCTGCACATTGAAATGATATGTGCTCCCAGATACCGATGGATTTCTGGAAATAATCCATTCACTCAGTAGCAGACCCCAGCTGCAGAAAGGGAGACATCAGGTTGACTGTGTGGCAGTTTGACAAAGAGTGGAGCTAGGATCACGCTCCAGGCTGAGGAGGAAAGGCAGCAGAAGCAGCAGAGACACAGCAAAGGATGCTCAGCTCTGAACAGAAAGGGTTCCCTTTCCTTTCCTTCAGCAGGCGCAGGAGTGCCCCGGGACAGCTCAGCCCCATGGGGCTGATGAAGCTGCCCTGACACTGAACACTCACTAAAGCCCTGCCCTGTGGCTGAACACAGCAGCAGCAGCAGCCCAGCACTCTCTGTCACACCTTATTGCTCAGGCCTGGCCTCGCAGCAGTGCTGGGGCTGGGAACAGCTCGACAGCCGTCCCACAAACACAGATGCTCCTGACGCATTCTGAGGGAAAACGTTCAGAGAGGACAGCAGTGCTGCCAGATTTAGTTAATGAATTCAAAATTAACGTTTCCAAAATAATGATTTTAAACTCAAAAGACAGTTTGTCACTTTGGTACCTCTTGGTCCCCGATTTCTGGAACTCTCCTGGATTGGTTGCAATGTTGTTCTGTGCATGTTTCCCACTACTCTGCATAGGTATTAAAGAGAGAAGTGAAGGAAGTTTGCAATCACATTCTACTACTTGTTTGCTACAGATTTTTTCCAAAATTTTCCGAGAGCAGAACATAGGCCATATTCTAATTCAATGATGCACACAAAAACTTGGGTTTCCCCATTTAATAGACATTGGCCAGATTTACATCAGACCCAGACATTATTTCTGATTGGTTTTGTGGGTTGGATTTTGTTTATTATGTTACAAACTGAAGTTCAGGGGAACTTGCAACAAGTCCCACAAAGCACAGTGCAACATTTAGAAAGAAAGGTAAACGAAACTGCCAAACACTCAATCATTTTCTGCCGGAACTGGGATATTTTTCCTAAGACATCACTTTGAGGAGGGGGTTAAAATTCAATGAATAAACTCAAGATAGTGGGAACTGCAAGGAAAAATAAGAAATGACAGCCACAACCTTTTCAATTTAAGGGCAGAATATAAGTCTAAGATATTTTTGATAAATTCTGACAAGAAAAAGAAAACAGCATACTTTAAAGTATATTGAAGCAGTGATTTTTAAACAAAGAAAGCAGAACTAGAACATCTTAAATTTTAATCCTTTCTTTACAGGTTACCTAGCCCACTTTTGATTAAGAAAACTGTAGAAAGTTAGTAACAGCCACAAGTTCACACCGAAAGGTGGCACTTGTCAATTTTCCATAGAGTCCTGCTTTACGGGGTGTCTCAAATGCACTGCTCCGATCTTCTATCATAGGTTGCTGACAGCACTTGTGCCAGATTTTAGTCCACTGGTCGCTTTTCACCATATTTCTTTGTAAACTCTTCAGCGTTCTTACAGAATTTTTTACGGTCCTTAGAGTATTCTTCAGCTAGGTCAGCCCGGAGGGGGTGCTCGGGCTGTGGATCATTCACCAGTGCTATGAGGGACTGGATTACTGTCAAAAGAAGTATAAATACCGTCAGACACTTAGATGGTTAATTTTTCAAAATCAAAATGTAAGCAAAATTCCCCTGTAAGGAAAGAGCTTTAGCTGCATTTAAATACATCCCCATAAATCTCAGGCCTTTTCAAGCGCAGGGCGTGAGTAAGCTGCAGTGATATGCCAAGATTTAGCTCAATGACCTTGAATGAACACCAGAAAAATCGTATTTGTAAACAAAATCAACATGAATAGAGACTAAAGTGCACTACAAATTATCTCCCATGCAATTGGCAGCCCATCTAAAATCCTCTCCTATGGCTGAGAACGAATCAAAGTTCTCAGGCAGGTTCACTGAAGGGATTTGGTAAAGATGGAATTTGCACCATGAAGCATTTCCCAACACCTGTCACAGGGATGCAGCTGTGACTGGCCCTCTTCTGGAAACCCTTTTTTACAGCTTTATTTCCCTATGATTCTTACTTTTCCTATGAACAGCAGGAATGTCTTCCCTTTACTCTCAACTTCCCAAGGCAGGCACCAGTGGAGATGTACTGGGCAAACAACGGGGTGAGAGTGGCAAGGTGCCCACAGCAATGTCACCATTGTCCTTGTCACTTTCCAAAGACAAGACATTCTTCAGGGAATGGAAGTGCACCTGACATTTACACAGCAAACCGCACAGCCCACAGTGCCATTTACTGCTACATGTTTCCCTGGGCAGGAATGCAAGCTCATACAATGATGGTCACTCCAGCAGATGTTGGAACACCAGAGTGACTTTGTTTGGGGCATTGATCTCAGTCTTTTCCACCCATGAACAAACCTCAAAACAAATACTCAAAGCAACGCTCAAATCTGACATTTATCTCTAAACTGCTAAACAGGAGCATTTCTTACCACAAATCCAAGTTTAAACTGCAACAAACTATCTAAGAAATGCAGAATTGATACCATCTTCCTTCACAGTAACTCACCAGTCCTGGCCTTACAAGTGCCATCACATTGATGAAAACAGCAGAAACACTGAGTGGCAATCCCTTCTCACTGAGCAAAGCTTGCAAAAACACTACAGAGAAAATGTGTCTTCAATAACCTTAGCAACAGTAAAAAGCCAGAAAAAACAGGCCTGGCAGAACAGGAGCTGTCTCAATAACTACAGAGTTTTGAAAACTATCCTGCCATTAACAGTTATTTTTTAATATTAAGTATAAATTAACAAAAAGTGCAGCAGTAAGATGCACATTTAGTATGCAAAAGGTAAGTTAGTGATTTATGATGAACTTTATCACATCACTTGTCTGACACCTGCGTGAACAAAACCAATCACTTTGATGCTGTACTGATGATGTCATGTTATTTCACTGAGAAAAGCTAGGATTGATTTTTCAGTGAAGAAGAAATCTGAAGGAAAAGGAGTAGACATTTAAGCAGGGTTTTAGTAGCATTGTCACAGGTTCATACAATCATGTAGTAGCAACAGATGTTGACACTAAAACAACTTGAAGAAAGAGTTAAGACAAACAAAAAAACCACAACACAGCAGACCATGAGAGATTTGCAATATTTTGATAGCCAGGATTGGTTCAGAATTCTGATTTTAGCGCAGCTTTTATTCACTCTTTCAGATAAAAGTTTCCCTACTTCTCAGGGAGACACTGACTATTTTCTGCATGCAAA